ATACAAAATTAACACCCAGAAACTTATGGCCTTTTTATGCACCAATAATGAACTCACAGAAAGAGAAACTAAAAAAATCCAATTTACCATTGCACCAAAAAAATTAAGATACCTAAGAATGAATTTAACCAAGGAGGTAAAGGACCTGTACTCAGAAAATGACAGGATGCTGAAAAAAGCAATAGAGGAAGACATAAACGAGTGGAAGAATATACCGTGTTGCCGTAGCCAGTTTTGCTCAGTGGGTAGAGCGTTGGCCGGCGGACTGAAGGGGCCCAGGGACGATTTTAGTCAAGGGCATGTACCTTAGTTGTGGGCACATCCCCGTTAGGGGGTGTGCAGGAGGCAGCTGATCGATGTTTCTCTCTCAATGTTTCTAACTCTCTATCCCTCTCCCTTCCTCTCTGTAAAAAAAAATCAATAAAAATAAAAAAGAATATGCCGTGTTCATGGATTGGTAGAATCAACATCATTAAAATGTTCATACTGCCCAAAGCAATCTATACATTCAATGCAATCCCCATTAAAATACCAACGGCATATTTCAAAGACCTAGAACAAACTCTCCAGAATTTCATCTGGAATAAAAACAGACCCTGAAAAGCTGCAGCAATCTTGAGAAAAAAGAACAATGTTGGAGGGATCACAATACCAGATATCAAGCTATATTACAATGCCATTGTTCTCAAAACTGCCTGGTACTGGCACACGAACAGACCTATAGACCAATGGAACAGAACAGGGAACCCAGAAATCGACCCAAGCCATTATGCTCAATTAATATTTGACAAAGGAAGCAAGAGCATACAATGGAGTCAAGACAGTCTCTTCAATAAATGGTGTTGGGAAAACTGGACAGATACTTGTAAAAAAAAAATGAAACTAGACTACCAACTTACACCATACACAAAAATAAACTCAAAACGGATAAAGGACTTTAAAGTAAGATGAGAAACCATAAAAACCTTAGAAGAATCCGTAGGCAGCAAAATAGCAGGCATACGTTTTATGATACAGCTCCTAGGGCAATGGAAACTAAAGAGAAAATAAACAAATGGGACTACATCAAAATAAAAAGCTTCTGCACAGCAAAAGAAACCATCAACAAAATAATTAAGAAAGCCCACTGCATGGGAGAACATATTTGCCAATGTTATCTCTGATAAGTGTTTAATCTCCAAAATTCATAGGGAACTCATACCACTTAACAAAAGGAAGATAAACAATTCAATCAAATAATGGGCAAAGGATCTAAATAGACACTTTTCAAAAGAACATACAGAAGGCCAAGAGACATATGAAAACATTAGCTCAAAGTCACTAATCATTTGAGAGATGCAAATCAAAATGACAATGTGGTACCATCTCACACCTGTCAGAATGGCTGCCATCAGCAAATCAACAAATGCCAAGTGCTGGCTAGGATGCAGAGAACCCTTGTGCACCGCTGGTCGGAATGCAGACTGGTGAAGCCACTGTGGAGAACAGTATGGAGTTTCCTCAGAAAACTAAAAATGGAACTCCCATTTGACCCAGTGATCCCACTTCTAGGAATATATCCCAAGAAAACAGAAACACTAATCAGAAAGGATATTTGCACCCCTATGTTCATAGCAGCACAATTTACAATAGCTAAGATTTGGAAACAGCCTAAATGCCCATCAGCAGAAGAGTGGATTCTAAAATTGTGGTACACCTACACAATGGAATACTATGCTGCTGTAAAATAGGAATTCTTACCATTTGTAACAGCATGGATGGAATAGGAGAGCATTATGTTAAGTGAAATAAGCCAGTTAGAGAAAGATAAACATCACATGATCCCACTCATTTGTGGAATATAATCAACACCATAAACTGATGAATAAAAATAGATACAGAGACAAAGAAGCATCGAACAGACTGTCACACTTCAGAGACAAAGCATCAAACAGACTGTCAAACTTCAGTGGAAAGAGTTTTGGGGGGGAGGGGTAAGAGATCAACCAAATGACTTGTATGCATGCATATAAGCATAATGAATGGACAAAAGAATAAATAAATTTTAAAAAAAGAATCTAGAGTGGACCCATTTCTGTGACCTACTGTGGTGTTCCCCTGTGGTAGGACTGCACTGGTGACTGCCATAGAGCACAGGAAGGGGTCATGTTCCCTAGTGCCATAAATACCATTTTAATACTGAGAGCCCTTTGAATACCTTATAGCAGCATACAGAGTGTTTTGTTTCACCTGTTGGACTCACCAACTGTTCACTGGGCCGTCAGTCTCTTGGGCTCCTCTGGTGGGTACTTAGCACTTAGAAGTTTTGACAAACCAGTAGCAGAAAGGAAAACTTAATGAGGTTTATGATTACAGCTCAGGACACCTTTGAGCTGTCAGCACTTTTAAAGCTTTCAGTGACTGAACTTGGGTATTCTCTTTAATAGAAATATGAACTGCCACATAACAATTGAATAATACCCAGGTGTTGACAGCAAAATGCTATTTCAGTGATCTTTTCTTCACCGCAGCTATACTGGCCTCAAAAATTGACCAATTTAGAATTGTGTAGTAAGTAGTAGGGTAACTGCATAGTTACACACCTTGGTGTCTGCTCAGGTACTGGCAGAAGTGTCTTTTTTTTAAAAAAAAGAGTTTGTTGATTGATTTTAGAGAGAGAGAAACATCAATTTGTTGTTCCACTTCTTTATGCATTCATTGATTGATGCTTGTATGTGCCCTGACCAGGGATTGAACCCGCTACCTTGGCATATCGGGATGATGCTCTAACTAACTGAGCTACCCGGCCAGGGCAGGAGCGTCTTTCTTAAAAACCGACTTCTTGATGGGAGAAGATTTTACTTTGGGTGGCATACATGCAATACACAGATCTTATAAGATAGAAAACACTCACCTGAAATTTGTATGATCATATTAACCAACGTCACCCCAATAAATTTAATTTAAAAAGGGCGGGGGGGGGAGCCACTTCTTGTACCTTTGTTGTGTTTCTGTCCCAAACTTAGTCATGTGAGTTAAAAATACAGCTCCTGTGTGCCCTGTGGTTTTTCTCTTCGTTGCTTTGATTCATCTTAATTTACCTTCTCATCACCACCTACTTTTCTCTTTTATGAGTCCTTCAGAGTTTTAACTTCCTTCCCAGTTTTTTGTTTTTTATTTTTTATTGTTTGTGTGAATCAATGTCCATTCTTCCCTCGTGGTTTTTCATTCTCAGTTTTGTCCATTTTGCTCTCTTTGTGCCTTTAGGTACCCTTTCCTTCAGATCAGAAATTTTATTTGTATTCTGTGTGAAATCTCACATCCCATTTCAAAGAACAGAGCGGAGTCCTTCAGGCTGACTGCTCTGTGTGGTTGGGTTTGGGAGAGCAAAGGACAGGGGGTGGGTTTGGCTGTCACCTGCTTCCCGAGGGGCTTCTGACTCCGAGAGGAGTCCTGCGCTGGCCTCCCCCCACAGGGCGGCATCCCACACAGGTTCAGGGTGGCCAGGTGAGAAAGGCGATCTGCAGGAGGCTCTAGAGCAGTGGTTCTCAACCTTCTGGCCCTTTAAATACAGTTCCTCATGTTGTGACCCAACCATAAAATTATTTTTGTTGCTACTTCATAACTGTAATGTTGCTACTGTTATGAATCGTAATGTAAATAGCTGATACGCAGGATGGTCTTAGGCGACTCCTGTGAAAGGTTGTTCGACCGCCAAAGGGGTCGCGACCCACAGGTTGAGAACCGCTGCTCTAGACAGACACAGGTCACCTCCTTGATGGCTCTCACTAAGTCTTCACAGACCACTCAGTGATTATATTTTTGTTTCTTCCTATTAGACACCAGAGCCAGAACCAGAACCGCCCAGGGCTCCTGAGCTCAAGCAGGGGCTGTACGAGCTCTCAGCGAGCAACTTTGAGCTGCACGTCGCACAAGGTATGGCAGGCGGATCTTGTGGGCGTTCACAGTGGGATGCACCCTCTCAGAAACACTGACTGTTTGTTACCCCTTCACTTGCTGGGCTTGTCCTTGCCACCTGAGGCCTCATAGAAAGCAGCATCTGGGACACTAACCAGTGAACTGCCACGCGGCCAAAATGGAAACCATCCCCATTTCTTCCGTATGCGCTGGAGTAATGAATTTAAGTTACCATAATTTTCGTTACAAACCCAGAGATGTCACTAACGAGTCTGATTTTAAAATTGGGCGACCAGAGTTGATATGTGAGGTTTGCGGCTATAGACGTGCGTGGCGTGTGGGGAAAGTCCGCCACTTGCGTCTATAGGTGCTTATGGAATACAAAGGGTTAAGTAAGGATTTCTCTTTTCAGGGACCATTAGCATCATTGTTTAATGCTCTTCCCCTTGGAAATTCGTCCTTTGGTCTCTGTCCTTAAATCAGAGTTTTAATGCTAAGCTAGGGCCGTAGGTGAGGGAATTTGGAGCTCACAGATTGTGAGTGACAATTCCTACACTAGCTGGACAGTGCATCTTTGAACAAGAAAGTGTGTTTATATTCACGTTAATCATATACTTACTGACCTGAGCCAGAAATAAAACTTTCTCTTTTCTGCCCTGACCAGGTGGCTTAGTTAGTTGGAGCATTGCCCCCTGCACTGGAAGGTTGGGCTCGATCCCCAGTCAGGGCACATACCTAGGTTGTGGGTTCGATCCCCAGTTGGGGTGTGTACAGAAGGCAACCGATCGAGGTATCTCTCTCACTTCGATGTTTCTCTCTCTGTCTCCCTTTCTCCCTCTCTAAAATCAGTTTTAGAAAAACCCTACAACTTTTTCTTACCTGTTTAAACTAGAATTTAGTTTATTTAGTGGAACTATTATAACATGTGAATCAGAGTTCTTCACACTTAAAATCTTTCCTTAGACACATCTTGTTTTTGAAAGTGGCTTCCTAAATATGGAAATGATCTGTGTACAGTTTCTGATGTTAATAATATAAGTCCTCCTTTCCTCAGCAGTGAATGACTCGCCAACTCCATTCTCAAATGCTGCCATGGAGAGAAATCCTCCCTTAAGACTGGGTTGGAAATGTTGTGAAAGGGGCTTAAAATCGCATCTGGCCTAGTGACTTTGTGCTGTGGGGAGTCATACTCCCACTCATTGCTAAATTAGCTCCCCCCAACCCACTGAAGGTGAGAAGTAACTAGTGCCTTCAGCTGTTTCCACTTTCCTTGGAGATGGCTATTTGTGCCAGCGCCCTGACAGTGCAGTTTCGAGGGGTTTCCCTGCAGGGGGTTCACTTTAACCTGAGACCAGCTTGGGCCCCCTGCAGGAGGTGTTCCCCAAGTCACCTTGTTGGAGACCCTTTCCCGCAGCCAGCCTGGTCCCTCACTCTGCAAGCCATCGCTTAAGGCAGCCTTTGGGGATGCCGCCTGTGCTGCTGGCCTGAGGGCCTCCAGCCTCTGGTCTTACACCTTCCGGAGGACACTCTGATGGGTCCCTGGGCGTCCTCTCCATCTCACCACCCTGTGTCAGCACCAGAGCTGCCTGGAGAGATGGGTTCAGCTTGGAAGCTAATTTGTTAATCTTTTGAAGCCAGTTTTTCACCATTTCCTTCAAACGCATCATTGCCATAGTGATGAGGCGCTGCTGTGAGTGATGACGTGGCCAGGCCACAGTTTAGCATTCATTGGCTCGTTTTCTACCTGGCCGCAGCCTGATTTCAGTTTGATCTCAGCCTGACATCTTTAGGCCCAGGATGGTCAAGGTAGCACAGCCTAGGAAAGCATCTTTCATGACTAAATAATGAAGTTTGAGGATCTGATTTTTTCCTTCTAGTCAGGAGAGTAATATTCAGTTTTTTAAACCTACTTTATTGTGAAATAAAACACAGATACAGGAAACAAATGTAAGGCTTAGTGATTTGTTATAAAATGGTCACCCTGTAACCATGTTTCAGTTCAAGACAAGCCTCGCTGTCCCCTTCCCAGTCACAGCTCCCCGAGGAGGCGCTGTCCTGACTTTTATGGAAACCACTCCTTGCTTTTCTTTACAGTTTCATCACCCAAGTGTGTGCTCCTAGATGCTATAGTTTATTTTTTTTATTTTTTAAATATATATTTTTATTGATTTTTTACCGAGAGGAAGGGAGAGGGATAGAGAGTTACAAACATTGATCAGCTGCCTCCTGCACACTCCCTACTGGGGATGTGCCTGCAACCAAGGTACATGCCCTTGGCCAGAAGCGAACCTGGGACCCTTGAGTTCGCAGGCTGACGCTATATCCACTGAGCCAAACCAGTTAGGGCTAGATGCTATAGTTTAGTTTGGTCTTTTAAAAATATATCTCATTCAATTCTGTTTAATCTACATGTACCCCCAACATCTGTTTTTCTTCCTAACATTCAGTTTGCTCATCACATAGGTGGTTTGACCTGTAGAGTCCCCACAGTGTGGTCTTCACTGACTGTCCCCACAGTCTGGTCTTCACTGACTGTCTCCCCACAGCTGGTCTTCACTGACTATCTCCCCACAGTCTGGTCTTCACTGACTGTCTCCCCACAGTGTGGTCTTCACTGACTGTCTCCCCACAGTCTGGTCTTCACTGACTGTCTCCCCACAGTCTGGTCTTCACTGACTGTCTCCCCACGGTGTGGCCTTCACTGACTGTCTCCCCACGGTGTGATCTTCACTGACTGTCTCCCCACGGTGTGGCCTTCACTGACTGTCTCCCCACGGTGTGATCTTCACTGACTGTCTCCCCACGGTGTGGCCTTCACTGACTGTCTCCCCACGGTGTGGCTTAATGTGTCCCTGATCTCTCTATTCCCTGTGAACTGCTACTTGGATCGAGAGACATTAGCAGTTTCCGTTTGATGTTTTTTGGGGGTTGGGCAAGACTTCATAGCCGCTGAGTCTCTCTGTGATGTCAGAGCCTAACAGTCACTGCCTAGAGGCGCTCATTTATTCTGGATACCAAATGCTGCTGCTCTGATTCAAGCATCCTGTCTCCATTTGTTGTTGTTAATCCTCATCCGAGGATGTTTTTCCATTGACTTTTTTTTTTTTAGAGTGGAAGGGAGGGGGAGAGGTAGAGAGAGAGAAACATTGATGTGAGAGACACATCAATTCATTGTCTCCCATATGCATCCCAACCAGGGACTGGGATTGAGTCTGCAGCCGAGGCATGTGCCCTTTCTGGAATTGAACCCGAGACCCTTCCGTCTGAGGGCGGATGCTCTAACCCCGGAGCAACCGGCTAGGGCTTGCCTTTATTTTGTGACCAGGAGAAACTTGCCTGGCTTTTCAGTTGGTTGTGCAGGATAGGGTAAATCCTGATTCTTTCCCTTGATTTCCAGTTTTTCAAATAATAAGTTGGTTCCCTATTGTCTTCCAAAGGTGACAGATTAGTTTCTGCTTTGAGGATCGTTATGAACTCATAGATGCAGACATTTTTGATTGAGAGTTTTTTTTACCAATTAAACGGTTCATACTGGACTGAGTTTTGCAAGAGGACAAAAATGAGAGGCTTCCATTCCATCTCTGGTTAGGTGTCATGTAAATTACACTCCCTCTCCCCCTGTCTTTCCCGGCTCCCACGGAAGGCAACCACTTCATCAAGTTCTTCGCTCCATGGTGCGGTCACTGCAAAGCGCTGGCCCCGACCTGGGAGCAGCTGGCCCTGGGCCTCGAACATTCCGAAACTGTCAAGATTGGCAAGGTAAGCACAGCCCTTATTAAACTGGAAATAGACCGCTTTGGCTGGATTAATTAGCAGAGGAGCCCATTATTCATTCTGTGTGCGAAGTCGCAGACTTGATTTATGATTTCCATTTAGTGTGCCCCTTGATCATTCATTTCACCTTCACAGATGGCAGCCTGGTTTTGAGTGTGCTGGCTTTTCCACAGCCCAGAGATAAATTATGGCTTTGGCTCCTTTGTTTATTTTGAAGCGATGGCCAATTCAGAATTGGCAGCTCCCAAGCCCTTTCTGCAAAGATAGGGGCAGCGCCTTGGAGAATGTTCCCTAGACGTACTTGGACACCGTCCACATTCGATCTCACCCAGGAGCTCTTTGCTGGAGGACCCTCCGAGCTCGCACCGGCACCCTGGGACCCTCCGTGGGGAGCCCAGCTGCTCTGCTGCCTGGAACTCCTCCCAGCTTTTCCCACTTTGCGCAGAGCAGCCAGGAGTGATGTCTAACAACTTCTGTGTAACTGGATTTTCTCGAAATATTAGCCACTTCTGCGCCATCAGGCACTTTTAATCTCATCCATCCTCTGGCACCCAGCAGACCATCCCTGCCTGGGCTTCTGCTAATAAAAATCTCATTGTCTACATTGCCAGGGGCCAATTTGTATACAGAAGTAACGCTGTGTCCAGGAACTATAGTTAATAAGATAGTCTCCTCAACAGGGTGAGATGTCAGAAGCATAAATTTGGGCATCAGATAGACCTGGCTGGCCAACCTGGGCAACTTTATACCTCGTTCTTCCTCTCGGTGAGACTGAGATGAGGTCTAACCGATAGTCCTGAGGATGGGAGTGAAGAGCTTAGCATGGTGCTTGGCCTGGAGCAGTGGCTAGTGAACTGTAATAGTTGTTGTTAGTTCAGTGGATTTTTCAGTGTTGCCTGCAACACTCTCAATAATATGTCCTAGAGTGTATGGGTGTGATTACGATTTTATATTTTATATTTATTGAACATTTCATGGAAGTTACTATAAAGCCATCTTCTTGTCCTCTGTCTCCTATGCCTTTGTATCCTTACTCTGTGTTTTGAACTTTGATGGGAGATTATTTTGTTTTCAGTTTATGCCACTAGATCAGACACAGTCTAAGTGAGTGGGCTGTGGTCCTTCGTCCCTGGGTGTACGTGTGCCTGGGTAAGACTGGGCTCAGAGCATGCACCCTGCCCGATTTCAGTCTGCAGCGTCTTGTGCTTCAGTCCAGCACTTTTAACTGCTCTCTGATTTCAGTTCTTTGTTAACGTAGCATTTCCAGCTGCCTTTATCGACACAGTGAGGAACAGTTTGGTCCCACAAGCTGATTTTAATACCAGTAGAAACGAAAGAAGTGACTTAGGATAAAATGTTTCATGAAAATGTTGAAAAGGAGAATCTTAGGAACATTTAAATGACATAAAAAATCTGAAGAGCTGTGATAGTTGGTAAATTAAGTTTATAGAATTAGGGACATAGTCTAAATTTAATTGGACACCTTTTCAGTTTTATCTTTATCATATTCCAGGGACTTCTATTTGCAGCTGACTACTTGCTCCTTTTTAATTTTAAAACTCCATAAGTTTGAACTGAGAATAAATGTATAAGTTGGCTGCCGTTGTGACTGGTGGGCGTCCGTCACTGACGCCAGGCCTGCCCCTCCCTTGGGGTCAGGCCAGGCTGCCCTTCTCCACTGACTAACCTGCTCAAGGTATTGCTCTCTGAAAGTGCCGTTTTCAGTGAGCAACATCACTCATGTCTCTAAGTGAATGTGGTCACTCTGCTCCCTTGGCTCGGGTGTCTTTGGGGCTGCGTCTGCAGGGAAGGCCGCAGAAACTGCAGCCTGCTGGCCCAGTGGCTGCAGGTCAGGGGCGTTAGAATTTTTCTTTTTGAAGAAACCCCGAGGGCCATAGTCATTTTTGTCAGGAAGGCTCACAGGTGCTGACTGGACGGTGGTCTTGCCTTGCAGGTGGACTGCACGCAGCACCACGAGCTCTGCTCCGGGAACCAGGTCCGAGGCTATCCCACGCTCCTCTGGTTCCAGGATGGCAAAAAGGTGCGTATTTGGGTCTTAGCCACAGTGGGCTGAGCTGTCGGGTGCTAAACAGCCATGCGGATTGCCAGAATGGACGGTTTGGGCACCGGTTTAAAGGATACATGTAATGGAACAAAAATGCCTTTCTCTTAACTGATAAGATTTGGGTAGCGGGAAAAACTGCCAGTTGTTGTACTATTTTGAAACCTTTCATTTGGCTCAGGTGGTTACTAGAGTAACCCAAATCCACCGTCCTGGGTAACTGAGCTCTGGCCGTGGCCTCTGAGCAGGGTCCATGTGCCCTCGGTAAGGTTCCCGTTCCCGTCCCGGCTGGCGGGCAGCCTCGCAGAGCTCCTGCGGCTGGCAGCCAGGCTGTGCTACGCAGCTCTGCAGAGGGCAGGGCTGTGAAGCTCTCACCAGAGCTAACTCCTCGGTTTGTCATCCGCGCTCTCCCTTTTAGATCCGAGCCTGCAGGCACCACACACGCAGCTCACACAACCAGGGGAAGGCATCTGATGGCAGGGTCCCGGTGGGTGAGGGCTCGCAGGAGGTTTGAGTGGCTCAAGCACTTCAGTGTGCTAACTCGGCTGTGTTTCTGTGTGGCCCTTCTCTGGACAGGTGGACCAGTACAAGGGAAAGCGGGATCTGGACTCGCTGAGAGAGTATGTGGAACTGCAGCTCCAGAGTGCGGACCGCGGCACCTCAGAGGCCACCCCACCCGCGGAGGCCCCAGTGGGTGCTGCAGAGCCCGAGGCTGACAAGGTGGGTGCCCGCCCAGCACCGCCCGCAGAGGGCGTTCTCTGGTGCTGGGGACACAGGACATGTGAGGACAGTACTGAGCCATTCAGATGGCTGGTTACAGCTGACTTTTCAACACGGAACATGTTCTTTGACTATGTTTACATGTTTGTACGGGGCAAATGGCAACATGGATGTGAGGAAAATCCCGAGATGGAGTTGAGATCTCTGGGAACCTCCTCCCTTTGATTCAGTTATCACTGTACCTGAGGGTATTCGCTCTGAAAGCTTGTCTGCTGCCTCGTGGGCCCACTGTCTGTTCATTTACACAACGTGCTGCAGGCATCTTACTGTAGCCTGTGGCTTATAAAGGCCATGAATGCTGAGTAGCAGGACAGCTGTGTGCTGGAATTGAAGGCAGGTGGCTGGAGGACATGAATTTGCTTAGACGGTCTCTGACTCACTGAGGGCATCTTCATTCTCAGGCTTTAGAGTCATTTGTTCTGTGATTATCAAGCCCTTGTTATGTTTCAGGCACTGTCCTGGGCCACCAGGAAGCAAAAGCAAGACCATGCCCCTGCCCGTCCCGAGCCGTGGGTCTAGTGGGGGCACATGAGAGCACATGCATGCAGGTGTTGCAGGGGCTCTGAGAGTGTGCAGGGCTGGCTGGTCACTGTGTGAAAGGAGGGGACCGATAGGCAAGAAGTGTCATTGGAGAGGTGACAGGTGAATGGTGTTTGCTGGAGAGGTGGGGAAGGCATTCTTGGGGGAGGAAGAGTGTGAGCAGCAGCACTGCGCTGGGGCCAGCGGGCATCGTGGGGCAGGGCCCGCTTCGGCTGGAGGGCGAGGTAAAGAGGGGGACAAAGGGTGCAGGCAGGATGCAGAGGTAAAGAGTGGGGGTGGGGAGAGCTGGTTTGCAGAGGACTTTGTTGACCAGCCAAAGATTTTGAGCTTATTTATAGGGATCCAATGGAAGGTTTGAGTTTTAGAAAGATGACTGGCAACAGCTTGTACAAAGATGGAAAACTGGTGTATTGGGTCATAAAAGAAGATGAGACCCCAAATGGAGGCTGACAGTGGGAGGGAGGGCAGGAGTGCCGCCAGCACAGGGACTCCAGCTCTGAGCAGTAGGATGGTGGGGTCTGCGCTGCCGCAGTTCCTGGCAGAGTCGGTGGACGATGGCACCAAGCACGAGCAAGGGGCCCTGGGACGGGGGTGGAGATGCCATCAGTTTTCAAGGTGTCGCTTTTGAAGGCTGTGTGGTGATAACTGTGGACAGTGTATCAGTCTGGGGCTAAAGCAGGCCGCCCGCACTACGTCTGTGTGTCTGGAGCTTTAGGTAGAAGCTATTGCCGAAGTCATGGGTTAGAATGAGATTTAAGGCAACTCAAAATAGTGTTGGGTTTTTTTTTTCCAGGAAAACAATGCTTGGATTTCCTAGCAAAGAGCCATAAGGTCTGTCAGGCAACATATTTCCAAAGCAGAATACGTAATGCTGCTACTTCAGTTCACACAACTGTACTTCATAGCATGCCAGGTCTTACCTGGGACGCGGGGACACGGGGCAAAGGAAGGGGCGGGGTGCCCGTGCTCCTGGGGAGAGGGCAGTGAGCCAGATGTGCCTGAACGCTCCCCAGTAACCCTCCAGCCCTCAGCATTTACAGCAGAGGTCACAGCCCGCTGGAGCCATCTGTCCCTGGGCCCCAGTTGTTTGGAATTGAAAAAAGCCAGTGGAAACCCCTACCCATCCTCTCAGGGTTGGGGAGAAGGGGCCTCTTTGTCCCCACAGCCCATCCCTTAGTTGGACTCTTGCAGGTTGGGTGTTAGTTAAAAGTTGAAGTTTTGGTGTAAGAAGTAAACAAATGATTTTGTAGTTGTTATGACCACATGTGTTAGAGGAGTGTGTGTGTCATGGTGGTTAGAAAGGTCATCCCAAATTGAGTATAATTATATACTATGGATGTTTTCATCAAACACAGAGCGGCTTCTATTTATAATGAAGTTTTCCACCATTAAGTGGGCCTTTCAGTGAGTGTGGCGTCCTGTTTCTGGACATAGAGAAAGATGGCAGTGTTCTACAATGCCCCTGGCACGCGGCACCTCCCGTCACCGACAGGCTTACTTGAGGCCAGACTCAAGCGGCGCAGCCCTGGTACCTTCAGCCACATGATAAATCACCCATATCCGCGCTCTCCTGAGAGAATCGCGGATGTATTTTTGGAGAAACAGGAGACGTGGTCCTCTAAAGAGCTGTCACGGTAGAGTCACTTTGGAGCAGACTGCACCGTGCAGCCGGAGCTCAGAGGAGCAGCTTTTACATTTACTTTGAATTTAAAAATGGAAAGAAGCTGTTATAGGTGAAACACATCATTGCCTGTGCTTTTGTAACCGTTTGTAAGGTCCCTCTATGACATAGAGGAAGTCATTTTTATGAATCCCTGTGATAGAGAGTGTGGACTCAGTGAGAGGAGCCACGGGTACAGACTTCAGGAGGCCCAGTAAGGGTGTCTGGGCTCTGGTCAGTGTGGGAGGCTCCGAGGCAGGGAGGTCTGATTCAGGACCTGTCCACCTAACCTGACTGGTCCACACTCCTGAGCCCTGGGGGACAGCAGGTGCCCCGCACTGTCCTGCCACCTCCTCGAGGCGTCTCGTGGGCTCAGGATCCATGGACCTGTGATGAACCTCTGCCCTTCAGAGGCCACTGCTCTACCCTTTTGTGTCGTTTGTGAAATGCAAGATGTGTAGGTGGTTTTGTGTGACCTTGGAGTAGGCATAACAGCATTCAAAATTATTGATTTGTCTTTCTGCAATCCCAAAGCATTATTCCCTGTGCTGTAAGTGATGTCTTTCACTGTGGCTTTTCCACCCCTGAAGGGCGCTGTGTTGGCACTCACGGAAAATAACTTTGATGACACCATTGCAGAAGGAATAACCTTCATCAAGTTTTATGCTCCATGGTAAGTGGCTCCTTAATTAGAAACTACTTTTCCTAGTGCACTTCAGTCCCTTCGTATTTTTCAGCTCGTTAGCCAACCCTCCAGGCTCATCCTGGGACTCTGTTGTAGGAAATAAGGAAATGTTATCTTTATGCTCCTGTGTTCAGGTATGTTCCAGTTTGGTGGTATTCATGACCATTTATGGAAAGTTGGGTTAATTTATTTTATAGTTTGGTCTGCTTTTCAGAAAACATAATGGAGGAGAACTATGGTGGTCATCTAGGACTTAAGTGGTGGTGCCTGTGTGCTTCGCCAAATAGATGGCTTGTTTTGGTTGCATAATCCATGAACATCTTGATGTACTTCTGCTCCTTAGTCTATTTTATTTATTTATTTTAAGTTCTTTGTTGTTGAAAGTTTTACATATGTCTCCTTTTCCCCATTGACCTTTCCCGGCCCCCACCCCCTGTCGTCTCTGTCCATTGGTCATGCTCATGTGCGTGGATACAAGTCCTCTCTTTTAGATGCCATAGAGAAATCCAGCTGAGATCAGAGCCTTTCCTGCCACACGGTGCGCAGGGACCAGGCAGACAGGGACTGTGCACGGGTTTGGGAATAAAGCACCTGTGTGGGGGAGGGCGAGAGGCCCAGAACTTCGCTAAACTGCTGAGCTCCGGGTGTTCTTTAATTCCTTGAAACGTAGCAGTGAAACTGAAGGAAATGAAACACTGCATTTGGGAATGCAGGGTGCTGGGAGTGTCCGTTCCGTATTTAAAAGCACACAGGAAAGGTCACCACATGCCATTTTGCTCTTTAGTTTGTTTATTTTCGGATATTCGTGAAAAACCATAATAGCAGAGATAAAAGTTAATGAGCCCTGCCTGGTTGGCTCTATTGGTTAGATAGAGTGTTGTCTGGGCACCAAAGGGTCTCAGGTTCAATTCCTGGTCCGGGCACATACTTAGGTTGAGGGTTCGATCCCCAGTCGGGGGGATATGGGAGACAACAGATTGATGTTTCTGACATCCATGTGTCTCTCTCACCCTCTCCCTTCCTCTCTAAAATCAGTAAAAAAATATATATATATCCTCAGATGAGGATAAAAAAGAAAAGGTTTTGAGCACATGACTTGTATGAGTTGTGCTGTTTTAATTCTTAAAAAATAGAAATGCTAGCCCAAGCCGGTTTGGCTCAGTAGATAGAGCATTGGCCTGCGGACTGAAGGGTCCCAGGCTCAATTCCGGTCAGGGGCACATGCCTGGGTTGTGGGCTCGATCCTCAGTCGGCGTGCAGTAGGCAGCTGATCAATGATTCTTATCATTCATGTTTCAATCTCTCTCTCTCTCCCTCTCCTTTCCTCTCTGAAGTCAATAAAAATGTTATATATATAAAAAAAGAAACACTAGTAAATAATGCCTTTAAAACTATTTTCTATATTTTTAAAAAAAGAAAGCTATATAGATCAAGTTTGAAGACAGCGGATCCCCTTTTATTGCAGGGGAGCAGTTCTTGCAGTCAGAAGAGGGACACCGGAGTTTTGAATGATTTAGTGCTCACACCACATCACCGAAGCTTGAGGGGAGCTGTGAGGTTGTTTTGAAACGTTGAGACCAGAAGCAGTCAAATCTAAAATGTTTTTAGCGTTCAAGTGATTAAAAAAGCGATGACGTTTGGAGTCCGTTTTGTTTCCTGTTCGTTTCCTCCTGTTCACGATGCATTCGTAAACCAGTTGGCCTGATGGATGTACGGATCAGGGACCTGGTTTCAAAACCCAGACTTGTTTTCACACCAGCTTGTTTCCATCAGGTTATCCAGGAGTCTGCTTCAGGCGGACTTTGCCGTCTTTGTTTAGAAGGAGGAAGAAGAGAATGGGGGAATTTGGTGTTTTATAAACTTGTAGGCCATTGTTGACAGCCTCATAGAAAAACAAGGCTTGGCAGCGAAATGTCGGTGAGGGACCTCGACCTGGGACTTCAACAAAGCGGTCATTCTTCCATTTCCAGGTGTGGCCACTGTAAGAATCTGGCTCCCACCTGGGAAGAGCTCTCTAAAAGGGAATTCCCTGGCTTGGCAGAGGTCAAGGTCGCCGAAGTGGACTGTACTGCTGAGCGCAACATCTGCAGCAAGTACTCGGTGGGTACCTGTGGGTGAAAACACTTCCGGGGACGCTGAGTATCGGAGCCGATCCCGCGTGTAGCTGGAATGTGGTATCATTGTCTCAACCAAGATAACGCACTGCCCTCCTCCCTCAACAAAGTGCAATGTCTGTGTCCTTTTGAGGTGTTTTCAATTTTACTTTGAAAAGGAAGAGATGCTCTGAGAGAAAGGCTTTCTCCCTCTGTTACAGGGGGCAGGGAAGTGGGGGCAGGTCTCGGCCTTGCTTCTGGGCAGTAACTGAGACTCCACCCTGGGGAGCCGGGGTACCCCTGAATGCACATTCTCACTGACAGTCAGCTAGCTTGTAGTCTTCATCAAAGATAACGAAGTGGCTTTTTATTTTTTTACATATGCCAGCGTTCTGAAGTTGATGACTGAATAAGGCAACATTGGAACATAGACTTCCTCCTGAGAGGGCATCCCCACAGCCAGTCCTGCACTTGGATTGGTCCTTTAGCTGTTGCCTCCTTCCGAGCTGCTGGCACCGTCTAACAGCCTACACGATTTGTGATTTGTACTGTTCTTTTGGTTGCTTTCCTAAAATACTTTTGAGGCTTCTGGTATTTATCACCTCATCAGATTGAGAATAGATGACATTTTTTTTTGTCTTTGGAAAATGCACGCATTTTTTTGTGCCTTAAAGTTCTCAAAAGAGGAAAGAGGTGAGCTACAGCTGAAAAATCTATCTCCTTGAGGGTTTCGCTGCTGCTCCGTATAGCCTGGGCATAAACGCAGCCTCAGGCCCTGTGCTGACCCCACCGGCCCAGGGGTGCGTGCACCAGGCAAGGACTGGGAGGCTCCACTCTGGGGAGGCATCCCTTTGACACTAATCAAGGATGTAATTTTGGATTGGAAGCTGAATAGCCCCACGGCTTTGCTTGCTGAACTAGCTGGTACTTTTTAAATGGAAATTTAACCATAGACTTTCCTGGCCACAACAGGAGGTGTTTTTTCTGGCTTTATTTAAGTAATTTGTGTATGATTCAGACCAGTTTTCAAACTGAATTTCCTCTTCACAGGTACGAGGCTACCCCACATTGTTGCTTTTCCGCGGAGGCAAGAGAGTCAGCGAGCACAATGGAGGCAGGGACCTTGACTCGTTGCAATCCTTTGTGCTGCGCCAGGCGAAAGATGAACTATAAAAGCGCAGGTGACGCCGCCTTCCTACGGGCTCCAGGACTGAGTGGAGGAGCACGCCGTGCGGACCTCGGGGAGTTTCAGGTGGTGGTTCCTCAGAAAGCTGTCTGTACTGAACTTGTGGTGTCTTCTGTGTGTGTGTGTGTTAAGCCAACACACTCTACAGAATTTTTATTACGTTTCTCTAAGTAAATATGATCCCTTTGCAAACTAAGGATTTTCCGTGGCAATTTATCATCCCCTTTAACCTTCTCTTGAGGGAATCTAAATGGTTTCCTTTGAGACTAAAACAGAGTTGAGGAAAAGCGAATCGCTGGACTATTTTTGGCTCCTGAGTGATTCTGGTGAAACCATCATCCAAAGCACAGTTTTGAACTGCCCACGAGTCTGGAAAGGTAGTCGCATGGCGTATTGTCATTCCTCTGATCTCAAGGTCACAGCTAGTCATGTGGTTGGTCTGTATCTTGGAGCAGATTTAAAAACAAACCCCCACACCTCTGGAAGGCGCCTTACCAGCCACTCCTGGATTTTGTTTCTGTTAATACTTCCCTCATCGCGAGAGGTTTGCCATAACGAAAACAGCGGTACTTTTGACGTGTGCCTGAGTAAGGTCACGCTGATGCCGTAATCTTTGTGTGTCGATATTTGTCAGATCAGTTATTACTGTTCAAGGGATACTTTTGTCTGTTTCTCCTGGGTGAAAGGTTTCATTAGTTATGTTAACATTAAGTCAGGATCCACGTGAAGATTTTTAAGATTTTAAGTCCATGTTTAAGATTTGCTATCTCCTGTGGAAAATGTGGGCCTGGAAAGTTCCACGAGGCTTGTCCTGACTGTTCTGTTAACTCCTAGAAAGAGTCCGGTGGTATCTGTCACCTGGGGAAAAGGACTAGATGAGCAGGGCCGGTATTGGGCCAGGGGACTTTGGCAGCCCTGCTACCGGGCCCTAACAAAGCAGTTTTAGTTCTGCTCCTCAGTAGTCCTAGGCCAGGGGTGGGGAACGTCTGGCCCAAGGGCCATCTAAAGGCCTGAGAAATCATTTGGTCTGGCCCTGCCACGGCATTAGGGGTGAATTAATTTAATGTTTGACCAGATATAGCAGGCTAATTTTTAAGTTGATAATTTTGTATGGCCTGTGAATGGTGTCATAAATAACCCCATAACCACAGAAAAAAAGGTTCCCCATCCCCGTTAAAGGCTCTGTACATCATCTGCCTTCATGGAGATTGACCCTCTGCTGTCTGAGGAGTGGGATTAACTTTACCTAAAGACCAAAGAATGAAGTAGGCGGGGCTGAGTCAGAGCTGAAGTAGGGTGTGTTATCATCAATGCTAATGCTCTTATAATTCATGCCTCTCTAGTTATTAAATATTTTTACCATCACCCTTGGAAATAACCATAGAACTAGACTCCCTGTATGTTCTTTGCCATCAAGTTACCTTTCATAATAACCCCTCTGTCGACCACTCTCACCCCACCTCCCGTGCTTGGGGGAGCCAGTCACTTGACAAAGTAATTGGTTGTAAGAATCTTAGACACAAGAAGCATCTGCTGTCTGCAGCAGATGACAACAGAGCAGGATCTCGACCAGCCTCTGCCTTAAGGAAATCTTTATTAATTGTGTGTGGATCACAGATGTTCTTTTTAAAAAACCAACTTTTCAGGAGAAGCACAATCCTCATGAGTGGCTTCCGCTTTGCATCACGAATCTTGTATTGAAAGAAAATCAAAGTGGTACAGTTTGTTTACACTCTGATACTTTCTAAATAAACTCTTTTTTTTAAAAAAAAGTCTGGTCTTTCCTTAAATGTTACAGCAAAACAGATATAAAATAGACAATAAATTATAGTTTATATTTACAAAAAAGCTGTAAGTGCAAACAGTTATAGATCATACATGTATTATTTAATCAGCTTAATATGAAATTGGTTTCCTAGTATATGATTGTGAGAAAGACATTTAAAAAATATTCTAAAATTAATCTGAGTCTTACTTTCTACAAGAGAAAACTGATTTCGATTCATCAACAGCATGGCCATCCAAACCCATTCCTAAAGGCTAGCACCCCTCGCTCAGTTTATGTCCTTTGTTGGTTCTCACCTATGACACGGAATGCTGTACAGTAAAAGGGCAAGACCGGTTTTACTGAAGTAGATGAGATATGAGAGCCAGCGTTCCTGAAGTTACTGTGCTTTCAGAGCCGTTCCGAACAGGAGGAGGTGCAGCACTGCTTTCACCTGTCACCTGGGTGCCGTGGTGGCCACTGAGGATGCCCCACCCTGTGGCTCCCATCAGAGCACCAGCCTTCTGCTGGTGGTGCTCGTAAAGGAAACCGCAAATGGGGGAGGACTGACGTGTGGAAATCACATGGTTTGTTTTAACTGAAATAATTCTATTTTCACACCAACAGAACACCAGCACAAACAGGTAACAGCAGTTACTGGACAAAAGGCACTTCCACGTGGCCCTGATTATGGCTTGGGCTGTTGATTTTATATGAAACTGGCCTTCCTGGGAATGAAATCCTTGAATAGAGGCATTCCCCCCGCCCCCCATTTCTGTTAACTGTAGATCTATTTTTGAGAAACATTCTAAATTGGCTGATACTTCAGCCAAGAATACTTATACTTCTTTAAAATTATTTTCCCTGTTTACTCAATAATACCACAAATAGCTTGATAGAAAGCTAAAACTAATTTTGGTGGGCTTTTATGGGGGAAGAGGAACCCTTCAAAGTTCTGTTTCTGCAATGTCCAGATTCCATACTACAGACATTCAAATAGCCTCCTACAGACCAACTATTCACGTTATTTACTACATGGGCAAATCATTACTGAGCCCCTTTAACATCTTCCTTGGGCAGTAAGGCACCAACCGGCAAGAGATGGTTTCAAAGTCATCATCCCACTTTCACTGCGTCAGTGTGCTGCTTAAGGCAGGTGTAAGCTAGGAGTCCAAGGCAGTACCTCTGACCCCAGCAACCAGTTTCAAGTTAGTGGCATCCACAAGCTCTTACAACCATATTCCTGTATTTCTTCAAGATAACATTGGAGTTGTCATCAAAGTAAAGAACTGAGATGGCATTTAGTTTAGTTGGCGCACAGCACGGTTTAGGGACATACTCAGGATTCATAAGGTGAACCTGTTCCAAAACAGAAGGAGGAAATGGTTCCATCAGAAATGACCTGGTCTTGGCTTACTCCTACCTATGCAGTGACAAAAGGCTCTGAGAGCTCACCAGTGTCTGGACGATCGCATGGTTCGTGGCATTCATATGTGCGTTGAGTGGGAAGGAGCATTCTCCATCACAGTAATTGGCAGCATAGCCCTTGGGTGCAATGATCCAGTCCTTAATTTAAAAAGCAAAAGCAAGCAACAAAGAGACGATTAACATACACTCCTTGCATCATCTGTGCTCTCAGTAATCCTGTGAGGAAAATTACTCCCATGGACAGCTAAGGAGACAGATGCAGGGAGGTCAGTTTCACAGGCAGCTGGCAAAGCTGGGTATGAACCTGATGGTGTAACTCCAGAGCCCTTGCTCTTTCCACACGCCCAAATGGCATTTAGCTGCTACCTGCCTGCCAAGCCTGGAAGCACATGGGGCTGGCTTTATGTACTTGGACTCAACGGAGCCTCTCCAGGAGCCCAGAGTACTCCCTGTCATGACACCTGCATACGGAAACTATCTTATGTCACTTGTCATCTGTAATTTGCTTCTTATAAACTGTGGTGACTCTCAGGTGTGGGGCAAAACCTTTGTGCTCTTGTAGACCATTTGGGTGAACTGATTTATAGCCATTGCAGAAGTTAAACTATTAATCCGTTTTCCCAACCCTTTCTCAAAACAATTTGTTTAATTGGTAAATGTACATACATACCCTGTGGACTTTGAAAGAATGAGGAAAGAGTATTGAAAAAGGTGGCTATTGATTTTGAGGTACACAGAGCTGGGGAACCCTGGGCTCCCTGGAAAGGTGCCAATAAGGGCTGTGTGCACACATAAGCCAGGCCTTCACCGACCTCACTCCAAGAGCCTGGGCATTTGGAAGAGTTCCTATGTACCTTATGGGAAGAACCATCTCAGTCCTAAAGCTCAAGATCTTTGATGATGGCTGATGCCATGAAGATGAGAAGGGCCCACTGAGAAAGGAACTTTGTCCCCTTTGTACCAAGAACTCACCTGCCATCCCAGGTCTTGGAAGCTCACATAAAGCTCATGCTTCCTGCAGGCTGTTTTTAACTCACTGCTGTTGTAATCTGTTGGAAAAGATAAAAACATTAACTCATTCATTCCCTCACCAGGCACTGTATTAGGCTCAGGATAGCAGTGCACAAGGCCTTGGCAAGACACAAATTTGGTCACCAAACAGCTCCATCAGGTTTCCAGTAGCTTGGGTGTTTTACACACTCTGTCTTGTCCACTCTGGGTTTAGTGCTGGGCACACTTGCAAACGATATATTGACCTGAATGGAATCTTTTAAGCAACAGATGTTTGTTGTGACCCCCTGATGTGTGCAAGGTCTATGAAGGGGGTGTTCCAAGATGCCCCAAACACTCGACTCCTGATATGGAAGACATCATATTTGCAGTAAAAGACAACTATCCCAGGCAGTATTTGCTCTATTTCTAACAGGAAGAGTCATGAAGTTGTACAGGGGTTTTAAAGATAGCTGCTGGGCCAGGGAAGTATCCTGAAGGAAGTATAATGAGCAGGCCCTGACCCGGAGGCCCAGGAGTAGGGGGGAGAGGGAGACACTGCAGCAGAGGCCATCCTCATCGGCACTGTCCTCCGGCCTCTCTGCATTTAACCTGCATTTAAGCAACAACTCCTAAGCCAGTAGTGCCAGTGAGATCTGCTGCTGTGTATATGCCCCTGTGTGCAATTCAGGAGTTACCAGTCTGGCTTAACCTAATCATTGGCAAGAGGAATGGCAATGCCCTGATTCATTAGGCCAGTGGTCGGCAAACTGGCTCGGGAGCCACATGCGGCTCTTTGGCCCCTTGAGTGTGGCTCTTCCTAAGCCTTAGGAGTACCCTAATTAAGTTAATAACAATGTACCTACCTATATAGTTTAAGTTTAAAAAATTAGGCTCTCAAAAGAAATTTCTCTCATTGTACTGTTGATATTTGGCTCTGTTGACTAATGAGTTTGCTGACCACTGCATTAGGCCAATTGTAGCGCTCTTGTGTGACATGCCCTTGGCTAGGCACATGGTAAAAAGGAAGATAGGTTAGACAACACTTTTGTCCTCCAGGAACTTAGAGAATCCAAAGAGTAGTGTGAGACATGTACAAGTTTGGGGTGCGAGTGAGAGGAAAGAGAGCAGTTCTATTGGAATGGGTTTAAAGATGTGAAGAGTCAATGGACATAATGTCAGTGAAACTTGATCTTGATTGACTTAGAACACTAACCAAACATTCGAATTTTCTACCAGAGGTATTAGGTAAATCTTTAAAAGTTTTTTTTTTTTTTTTTTTGTCAGGGAGTGACACGTTCAGAGCTGGGATTCTAAAGGATAGATCTGATGATAGTGGTGTTTGAGAGTTCCAGAGAGGGGAGAGGGATGAAAGGTAAGAAGACTTTGGAGAAAAGCTCTTAATCTACAGTGAACTTTGATGAATACGAGAGCCTGGGACCATTTGCATGCTACCTCTTTCTTATCACATGAGCCAATAAATTACCTGAATACTTAAAGTCTGTCTGAACTGAGTTTTTTTTTTTTTTAATATATATTTTATTGATTTTAGAGAGGAAAGGAGAGGGAGAGATAGAAACATGCCCCCTACTGGGGATCAAGCCTGCAACCCAGGCATGTGCCCTTGGCTAGAATCGAACCCGGGACCCTTCAATCCGCAGGCTGACGCTCTATCCATTGAGCCAAACCAGCTAGTGAACTGAGTTTTCTGTTACTTGCACCCCTGGCCCTCCTGGCCCTGAAGCAGAACTCAACATGCAGATTTCATGATTTTATAAGAGAAAGAGACGAACAGTACCAACTCAGCCCAGCAACCTATCCTGGGAGGATAGACAGGCTATCTTCTGTAGTGGTTTCTAGTTCTAAATTTATTCATTCTCCTCACCTGCCTTCTTTACCTCACAGAACCACTCTCGCTGTAAGTTAAAGTACCTGATAGAAGTGAATGCAAAACCACACTGGAGGGAATTTTTCACAAGGCAGGACACCATGGACTCTCAGTAAAAATAAGCACACACCAACACCACAAAACAAGACAAATTCCTCCTGTTGAAAATAATCTCTCAATGAAAAGAATTAACCACACAAAGAAATAAAGTATCCTGAGAGAGAGTTGGAGTGCAAGAGAGAAAATATAGGATCCCAGAGATTCAGGCAAGAGTAGTCTCTGAATGTGGTTACAGAAAATGAATATCTAAAATAATGAGAGTTAAGAAACAGAACTGTAAAGCAAGATAATAGGGAGAAGAACAGGTGAATTTGAAACAGAGCCAAATAAAATTTTATAAAAACCACAATCATTGAAAATAACAAAAGGGATGAGCTAAACATCAGATTAGATATAACTGAAGTGAGAATTAAAGAATTGATCAGTATTTGAAGAAACTTGCCAAAATAAAGCCGAGTCAGATGGCCAGAAAATACATCTATCTGTAAAGAGATGTGGAAGATAGAATAAAAAGTTGAACATTATTTCTAGTAGAAACCTCTGAGGAGACTAATGAGGAGAACTAATAGTTGCAGGCATAAATACCTATGAATTTTCTAAAAAAGTATGCGTTTCTGAAAAAAGGCAAACTTCTTTAAATTGAGAAGGCACAAATGAGTCCTAAGCAAAGTAAGTAAATTCCTATCCAACCATATCTGGTGAAACTAGTATATCAAACACATAAATTCTTAAAAGCAACACTGAGATGAATATAAAATTATCTACAAAGGAACACAAAGTAGATAGCAAATTTCTCAACAGAAATAGAGAACATAAAAAATATCAAAATTATGCCATCAAACTAGAATTCCATACCCAGCTATAGAAACCATCTATTATTTGGCTACCCAGGTTCCAAGAACACTTATCATTTGGGGAAATTCCTAGGTAGGTAGGAATCAAGGTCCCATTTCTAACCACAGATATCTACTGTATTTGTCCCCTGGCAGTTAGAATATAGCCTCCTGACTTCATCAACCCAATGCACCCACTTTTGAGAGAGTGACTCAAAGGGGAAACTAAGAATGGGTGACATGGCAGCAAGTGTTCAGGGTGCTGGCCCCAGTGATAGCATTCAAACCACAATGTCCCCATGACCAGGTCCAAGCTAGACCCTGATTTGAGTTTGGTTTTCCAGCCTCATTGGTTGGATGAGTTTCCTGATACATGTAAATTATTTTTCACTTTAAGTAAATTAGAGTTTGCTTCTATTCCAAGTAATCAAGAGCCCTGAGTAGCTAAATTATTATCCATAGAGAATAGGGAACACAGGATGGAGTGGGATCATTATTTCATATAGGATTGGTGAGCTCATCCTTCTGTTGGAGTATCTCTTAAGCAGAGACCTGAAGGAACATTGGGGGTGGGGCATGAGTCTATCTGAGGGAAGAATAATTCGTACAGCATGAATGACAAATGTGAAGGCCCTGAGGAAGTACCCGCTTGGCATTTTCCAGGAACATCTGATGGAGACTGCTATGTGTTTATTAAAAACCCATCTGTCTACCCCTGGGGCACAGAGCTATTTGACATTCCCCACTGCAGTTAGGTGTGGCCATGTGGCTGAGTTCTGCCCATAAATGTGGAGAGAAGGGAGGTATGTCGCTCCCAGGCCTGGCCTCCTAAACTCGCCTGTAGCCCTCCACTTGCTCTTTCTTCTCCTGCCAGCTACAGGCAAGAGTCAGTCTTCCGAAGACTCCATGGTCCTGGTCCTGTTGTGCCCTTGAAGGTGTCCTATGTTAGATAAGTTATATGATCCCCCTACTTATAGTCTTAGCCTGGAAAGTTCCCTGCCCAAACTCATTTGGCCTGTGTCCCCCAACATAAACTTCCTCTAAAAGACCTTCTCAGTGCTGGGGACCATGATCACCCCAAAATCAAACCTGGAATTGTTAGCCATGTGAAAGGCAGGGATTTCTAGGCCAGCTTTCCTCCCCAGGTCAGTGAACAGGCAGTGAAATATAATAAAGAATATATCTGGTCTTGACAACAGCATGGATGGACCTGGAGAGCATTATGCTAAGCAAAATAAGCCAGTCAGAGAAGGATAAGTATCACATGATCTCACTCATTTGTGGGATACAATGAATAACATAAATTGATGAACAAAAATAGATTCAGAGACATAGAGTCATCGAACAGACCGTCAAATCTCAGAGGGAAGGCGGGGGTGGAAGGTGGGGGTGGGAGGGCAGTGTTGAGAGGGTAAGAGATCAACCAAAGAACTGGTATGCATATAAGCATAACCAATGGACACAGAAAATGGGTTGGGGGGGAGGCGGGCAGGCTGAGAGAGGACAATGGGGGGAGGAACATATGTAATATTTTCAACAATAATTTTTAAAAAAAGAATATATCTGGTCTTTGTCCTGGTTCCTGGCACAAAGCTATGAAAACCATGGAATTTCTTAATTGATAATTCCAATATATGATGGTTCCTAGATAGCTTCAGGATAGGGGCTAGTCACCAGAAAGACTAACCACGTGATTAGAGGGTTGGGCCAGCCTGACCTCCATGGAGGGAGACTGGATAACATGGCCAGGGATTTAATGAATCATGCATAGCAATGAGACCCACATAAAAACTCTGGACACTGAAGCTCTGTGGAACTTTTGGGTTGACAAACAGACTGGCATGCTGGGAGAGAGAACCTCCCAGGTTCCATGAGGAGAGGACATGGACCCCTCCTCTCTCTCCCCCTCCCCT